GCACCACCGCAGCTCGGTGCGCTGTGCACCACCGCAGCTCGGTGCGCTGTGCGCATGGTCCGCCCAGTGCGCACGCGCGCGCACATGCGCGTGTGGTACCCCTGAGCGCATCCCGCACGGCGCACCGCACCGCATCGCGCACCGGGGCAGTGCGCCGCAGATATGGTCTGAACCCAGCGAATAATAATATCTCCAAAATTGTTTATAATTCCATGCCTAGTATATGTGCACTTCCCAAGAGCATCGTAATTCCAAAGAAGAGAATGAGGTAGGGGGGAGAAAAGATAGAGGGAAGGAGAGGAAGAGTCCCCGTAATCATCAACAATGAGTGAAGTCTCTTTCTTCCTTCTTCCTCATCGGGCATTCATCCCCCAATCGCCACCTCAGCAATACAGTTTCTCTCTGACGTCCTCTGTCAGATGCCATGTGCAGGTCACAGCAGGGCGCCCATCCTCCATCAACGTCAGCAGCCAATCAGGGAGGATGGCGCAGATTTCCTCACCTTTGTGGAGACAAGCAGCCGATCACACACTACGTCGCCAGGTAAGTCCAGCTAAGCTTTCCCTCAACCTTCTCCACTCTCACACCCCTGATCCTCCTCCTCCTCCCCGATGGTCAACTCCTATATCTACAGCTATGGCAGCAGTGGCCACTCCAACATAATCTCCCTGAAGGCTGGTGGCCACTTCCAGCATCTGGCGCCAGCATGCGACTCCAGCAGCCTTGCGTCACAACACCAGCGTCAAGCCAGCGCAAGGCCGGATATCCAACACAGTGGCTGGGTCCACTCTATATAGTGTTGACTCATTTTTAACCATCCCTCAATCTCCTCGGGTCGACAGCCCAGATGAATCGAGAACCAGTGGTCTCAATCTCCTCGGGTCGACGGCCCAGATGAATCGAGAACCAGTGGTCTGGATGCGGTGTAGTTCCCAGTTTCCCATGATTCCCACTTAGACTGGAATCTTCCAGATACCTGCAGAGAACCATTGATGTGTATCCGACCGATGGCCGTGGCTGACCAGCGGGTTGACTTTGGCTTTTGGGCCTGGAATCCCATGCTGAGGTTGACTCTTGAATTTTCAAGAGTCAACAGGGGTACTGGGCACAGCTTTTGACTCAGATCTTGGTAACCCATGTGTTACATGCTGCGCCTGCAAACGAGGGCCATTTTCAGGCCCTGTGTCGTTCAGCCTGAAAGCCTGAAAACAAGGCCCTGAGTCTTTTCAGCCTGAAACGGAGGGCCATTTTCAGGCCCTCATAAATAAGATCGACCCGCCCTGAAACTTAGGCACCGGACCAGGGTTTTAGCACAGGCCATTTTGGGCCTGTTTTCAAGACAACCCTTGTTGAACCTCAACGCCAGGGTCTGGCACGTTTTGGCATTGGCAAGAGCAGCCTCCTGGGCGGGCCAGCACTATATAAGACTGGCCCGCCCTGCAGGCTGCAGATAGTTCATAGGGACTTCCCAGGCACTTCACGTGCAGGAGGCTGGAGGCAGTCTTCAGGATTCGGCAGCAGCACTTTGGAGGAGTGCTGCAGTAGTAGTAGCGTTAGGAGTAGTCTTCAGCGCTGGGCGCTAGTAGGAGCTAGAGTAGTGTTGGAGAGAGCGAGATGGTTGGCGGAGGCCAGGGAGACTTACCTGTGGCGCCATAGCTCCAGCTTCGTCTTCGATGTACCTGCAACAAGGCGCCACCTTCACAGGTTAGCACCGGACTGAGAGAGAGAGAGAGAGAGAGAGAGAGA